ATACCAGTTAGACATCCTGGACGCGTCCAAAGAGAGAGACTTTCCGGCCAAGCGAAGACTGTCTATTCTGACAGGTCAGTATGCGCACCGTGTTTTTACTCAATTGGTGTTCTTTAAATCGTTTAATTATAGCCCGTGGTTTACAAAGATCTAATTTCATGTGCTTTATGCCTTCAACAGGTGACATATTCCTGCTGGTGTTCAGCGTAACTGACCGAGAGTCTTTCACGGAGATCTGCTCGTTACGCGAGGAGATTTTCACTGCCAAATCCAAGCTGACCAAGTCCAAAGAAAACAGACAGCTTCCGATAATAATCTGTGGCAATAAAACGGACTTAAACTCCTCGAGAGCTGTGCAGCACTCCGATATCCGCCAGTCTCTCGGGGAGGAAAGTGTCCTCTTTGAGGTGTCTGCCAAAGACTGCACCAACATGGAGGAGATGTTCGAGGCCCTGGCGGTGCTGGGAGGGCTCCCCACAGAAACCAGACCCTCTCTCCATCGAGACATCTCCATCCACACGTATCAAGCGCTGAGCAGCAGAAAGAGAAACAAAAGAGCCATGAAAGAGCCGTGTGGCGCGGTGCACCCCCTCGCCCGCAGACCGAGTTTCAGTAGCGATCTGCGGCGCGTGATGGGCCCGAGCACCACTAAACGAAGCACACCTATTGAGAGGTGTCAAATACAGTAAAAGAGTAACGCTAGGGACTCTGTTTCAAACCTATGAATAATAATTATTCAACGATGTAAGAATTATTATATTCTATTAGTCCCTGGCTGGACCATATGGGACAGATTCTACACATTGACAAAGTATTTGTGAAATGTATTTATTATAACCCTGTTGGAAAATCGGGCTTAAGATGGTCAAAACTGGTCATTATCAGGTGTAAACTGGTGGATCAGCAACTCGATGGTCAAATGAGTTGTTTTTTGGAACACTGAGGTTGGTCAACCACACTGTAGAAAGTGGTAACCTGCTATTGTTATCCTAAAGAGACATTTCTACTTGATTTACCCCATAAACATTAGTTTTGTTGGTATAAATTAACGTATTTAGATTGGTTCATTGACTGTAAATTCATATATTTGACTTGAAAACCAGTTAATATTGATGTTACCGTTACCATTTTTGTTTCAGTGCAAAGCTGGTCTAAATTAGTTGGAGTAAACTGCTTCCAAAACAGCTCAGCTCATGCTTTTTCCAATAGGACAATGTTGTTTTCTATGTTGAATGTATTACCTGAAATTTGTTTCAACATTTCTTATACTAACTATAAAAAAAAACCTATGTTACCTCAAATTTGTTTCCACTTTGTCTTGTATTACAGACAACAATAAAAAAAGTTGCCTCTAAGAAATATTGCGTCGTTTTTTTTCTCAAAATGCATGAGCTTTTTCCAGAAATCAGGGTCATTGCAAACAATCTCCCCTGAAGTTGTAGAAATGTCGAACATTCATGATGAGAAATTATTCTTGATGCAACCAAATCAATCGTGACACATATCGACAGGAAAAATGAGAGCATGTAACGTCACGTATATAATATTCATGAGCCGAGCTATATTTATACCGTGTCTCCCACCTCACCTCAGTTTTGCTGACAGACAGTATCTACGCCTCTGCTTGAAGGAGAAACCAGTTTAATCACAGTATGACCATTTATTGGTGAACAACGGGAAGAAAGGAGTGGGTGGTGAAGCTATGGTTCTCATCCTCTGCAGAGGCTTGAGTCATCATCGCTATGCTGGCGTAAAATTCTCTCATATTAGTAAGAAAACGCGCCCACGCACTTGTATGTGAGAGTCCCGGACAATACAGTACAATCACGCTTTGCATAATAGACATTATACAACACGACAGCTGAGAGATGAATTCCCTTTAGACTTTGAATATTCATGAATCCAGTGAGGAATATTGAGAACAGTAAATGATAACCTACATTAACAGTAAGACAAGTAAGCATAGCACAGACGTTTCAGTGCATACACGGATATTTGCATGACAGATTGTTTGGTAGCGTTAAGCAAACGGCGCTCAGCACCATGGACAGCGTACCGCTCGTTTACTCTGGTGCGTTTTCTATCGTGAATAGCTTGAAAATGTTGTCTGAACTACATTACTAACTTTCAAAATGATATCTAAAATAACTAAATATATTTGAATTGTGCTTAAACAAGAAATAATACTGTGAACAGGGAGCAAAATTAATAATTCATGATTCTTCAATGACCTTCTGTCTAACTGAGAATGTGGGTGGTTTGGAGAAGAGGAACTCCAAATGGCAGATGCAATGAGAAATCACACCTGTGCCAAATAACACAAGATATAAAAGCCCGCAGGGAATACAATCACATCAAATGTCATAGATCAGAGAAGGCAATTATCTAGTTTACGGGGTTCATCTTCTTTTTACAGATTCCTAAAATATTACTTTAAAACATTTGAAATTGCCAATATTTTACAAATCCAGTTTAAAACGCACATCTCAAGTTCTTAGAAATACTCCGTATTCGTTTCATATGTTTTTTCAAAACTTTCAAACCATTTTCGGAACCTTTCAATGTGATGACTCTACAATTAGCATGTGATGTTAATTGTGACATTGTGACAAACAAAAACTACTATATTTTAATCTTAAACTTATTTTTTTTTTTTTAGTTTCTCATTTTTTCAGTATAAAAAGTAATTAACTTAGGCCTGGTTTCACCGACAGGGCTTAGACTAAGCCAGGACTAGGCAATAGTTCAATTAGGACATTTAAGTAATTTTTTATTAACGTGCCTTAGAAAAAAAACATTACTGGTGTGCATTGAGACAAAACAGAGGCACTGATATATTTTAAGATCAGTCCGTGCAAGTTTCAAGTTTCAGATAAAACAGCTCAGACTTACACTTTAGTCTGGGACTAGGCTTAAGCCTTATCTGTGAAACCGTGGGTTAAAGTCACAATTAAATGGAAGTAGCGGCAGATCTTCTCTTTCATATTGTAACATACATCAGAGTACAACAAATTAACACCAAAGAAAAAAAAAAATGTATAGTTGTTGATTGGATTTTGAATTGTGGGTGTCATTTATGTGGACTAAATGATTGGAGATGTTCTTCATATGTCACCAGAGAGAAATTTGTCATTTTCAATGTCACTCTAAAAATGCTGGGTTAAATACAACCCGGGGTAAAATATGGACAAACCCAGCAATTGGGTTGTTTTGACCCAGCTGTTGGGTTACTACTCAGAAGGTTGGGTAAGTTTTAATTTAACCCAACCGCTAGGTCAAAACAACCCAATTGCTGGGTTTGTCCCTATTTTACCCCGCACTGGGTTGTATTTAACCCAGCATTTTTTTTTAGAGTGTTATGACATTGATTAAACAAAATCAAAAGGCTTTTAAAAAATAAAGAAGCATATGCACAGGTGTTCACATGCTTTCATAACAGGGTAAATTTCTATTTCATGCCAACAATGAACATCGTTTTCCATTCAAGATCATTTTTTTCTTCAATATTATATCAAGATCATATTCTCACATTTACCTTATGCATCCCCCCCTGAATAAAATTATATTCAGACATAAAACATGCTAATTGTAAAAATGAACGTACTGTATTTGTGAATAAATGAATAAATAACAGAAACATTTCTCTGATGCAAACTGTCATCTGTCTCTCTGAATGTCTGTCTTTCTGCTGGTGTACTGCTTTTTGAAAAACATCTCTAATTCCAGCAGCATTGTGGGTAAGATGCTGTCCAGTAATGCTAACCCTTCCCAGGAACACCACAAACCCCTAAAGCATAAAGAAAAGCATCAATGGGGCATTGATGT